AGTTATACCAAAACAAAACAGGATGGTAGTTAAAAAACCCCTCACCGTTTCCCAGGTGATGTGTGCAGTAATTGGGACAAAAAATAAAAAAATGGAGCATCCTCCAAATAATCTGCAGTAGAACTTCTTTAGTGGCTGAAATCCACCCCCACCTCACCCCTGGTTTTTTGTTTTTTTAAAATAATATTTATTACTTTCCAACAATTTAGACATTACATAGAAAAAGAAAATAAACAATACAATACAATACAAAAACAATACCTAACATTGAACTAACAAAAACAATTTAAACTAAGAAAACAAAACAAAAACAATTTAAAACACATCAAATAGTTTCAATCTTTCATTCACTTATTTCCATGACCTCCTCACACCTCCCTTTTTGTATTCCACTTCTATTAGTTGTTTCAGCAATTCCTTTCCATCTTCCTCTGCTTTCTATCCTATAATTATCTTAACACATTTTAACCTTATTTTTCCCTTTAATTCTCTATTAATCTATTTATACTTAATTCTTATAACATTTCTGCTGAAGCCATATAACTTCATTCCAACATTTTTCTAACATTCATTGATTTTACAATATTTCTGTAAATAGTCTGTAAACCTTTTCCAATCTTCTTCCACCGACTCTTCTCCCTGGTCTCGGATTCTGCCAGTCATTTCCGCCAATTCCATATAGTCCATCAACTTCATCTGCCATTCTTCCCGGGTGGGTAAATCTTGTGTCTTCCAATACTTCGCGATGAGTATTCTTGCTGCTGTTGTAGCATACATAAAAAAAGTTCTATCCTTCTTTGGCACCAATTGGCCAACCATGCCCAGGAGAAAGGCCTCTGGTTTCTTCAGAAAGGTATATTTGAATACCTTTTTCATTTCATTATAAATCATATCCCAGAATGTCTTAATCCTTGGGCATGTCCACCAAAGGTGAAAGAATGTACCTTCAGTCTCATTACATTTCCAACATTTATTTGCGGGCAAATGGTAAATTTTTGCAAGCTTGACTGGTGTCATGTACCACCTATAAATCATTTTCATTAAGTTTTCTCTTAAGGCATTACATGCCGTAAATTTCATACCTGTGGTCCATAACTGTTCCCAGTCAGCCATCATTATATTATGTCCAACATCTTGTGCCCATTTAACCATTGCTGATTTCACCGTTTCATCCTGGGTGTTCCATTTCAACAGCAAGTTATACATTTTTGACAAATTCTTAATTTTAGAGTCTAACAGTTCTGTTTCCAATTTTGATTTTTCCACCTGGAAACCAACTTTTTTGTCCAAATTATATGCCTCCATTATTTGATAATAATGGAGCCAATCTCGCACTTTATTTTTCAATTTTTCAAAACTCTGCAATTTTAGTCTGTCTCCCTCTTGTTCCAGAATTTCCCAATATTTCGGCCATTTGGCCTCCATATTGAGTTTTTTCTGTGCCTTTGCTTCCATTGGTGACAACCATCTTGGGGTTTTCTTTTCTAACAAATCTTTATATCTTATCCATACATTAAACAATGCTTTTCTAACAATATGATTTTTAAACGCTTTATGTGCTTTTACCTTATCATACCACAAATATGCATGCCAACCAAATATGTTGTTAAAACCTTCTAGGTCCAACACATCAGTGTCTTCAAGTAGCAGCCATTCTCTCAGCCAACAAAAAGCAGCTGATTCATAATAGAGTTTTAGGTCTGGCAGGGCAAATCCACCTCTCTCTTTAGCATCAGTTAATATCTTAAATTTTATTCGAGGCTTCTTGCCCTGCCAGACAAATCTGGAAATATCTTTCTGCCACTTCTTAAAACAATCCATCTTATCCAAAATTTTTAATGTTTGAAACAAGAACAACATCCTTGGCAGCACATTCATTTTTATCACAGCAATTCGGCCTAGTAATGATAACTTCAAATTTGACCATATTTCTAAGTCTTTTTCACTTCAATCCAACATTTTTCATAATTATCCTTAAATAAATTCACATTTTTAGCAGTCATATTAACCCCTAGATATTTCACTTTCTTAACCAATGTTAATCCTTTCTCTTCCTGAAATTTCTCTCTCTCATTTACAGTTAAATTTTTCTCTAATACCTTAGTTTTCATCTTGTTCAGCTTAAAACCTGCTACTTGCCCAAATTCTTGAATGAATTCCAATACCCTTTTTGTGCTAGATTCTGGTTCCTGTAGAGTCAATACTAGATCATCAGCAAATGCTTTCAATTTATACTGTTTAACTCCCACTTGTATACCTTTAATCTCTTGGTTCTTTCTTATCATGTTTAGCAAAACCTCAAGGACCGATATAAAAAGCAGTGGAGAAATTGGGCAACCTTGTCGTGTCCCCCTGATTTTATCTCCCTATTTCCTGCTTTGTTATTGTGTATCAATGTGCTGGAGAGGAACAGACCCAGGGGACCAAAATTGGGGAACCCCATGTGTAGAATTTGAAAACTTGAGACTAAGTTGAGCAAAAGTGATACAACAACAACAACAACAAATAATTTGCACCCTGCCCATCTGACTGGGTTGCCCTAGCCATACTAGATTATTGTCATATGTGCAGAAGAAATTGTGTGACCTGGCGGGTAGCACTTTTTGCAACTGCTCCTAGGAAAATTAGAGCAAATTATATAGCCAAGGTAGCCATTAACTGTAAAGGTGATGAATTTATTTGATCCTATCTATCTACCTCAGGCTATGCTCTATCTTTGTCACCACACTCTGAGTATAAATTGCACACTGTATTAATTGATATTGTTTTTAACATTAGTGACCATGTGATGATTTTAGCTTATGAATTGTATTGTTTAATGTTTTTATTTGTACATTGGGGTATTTTTATAGCTTTGTTTAGAGTACGTAATGTTTTAATAATATAAATGTTTTAATTTAAGTCTTTTTTTTAATCAATTCAGTATATTTTCTTTTAATTGTCAAATAATTCTGTGTACATTGCGGCAGCCTTTGGCTATGTGCAATAAAATTGACTGAGACTATTTATCTAATTATATGTTAAGTGAATAATAATAATAATAAAAATTTTTATTTATACCCCGCCCTCCCCAGCCAAGACCGGGCTCAGGACGGATAACAACCAATTATAAAAACAAGTTGATTAAAATACAACTTAAAAGCAAGATTAAAATACAACATTAAAACATTAAAATGCAGCCTCTTCACAGGAGGAGAAAGGAAAAAGAAAGAGGGTGAGGGAATCAAACTGATTCTAAGCCAAAGACCAGGCGGAACAACTCTGTCTTACAGGCCCTGTGGAAAGAAATCAGATCCTGCAGGGCCCTGGTCTCATGAGGCAGAGCGTTCCACCAGGCCGGAGCCAGTGTTGAAAAGGCCCTGGCTCTGGTTGAGGCTAATCTGACTTCCTTAGGGCCCAGGACCTCTAGGGTGTTGCTATTTGTAGACCTTAAGGTCTTCCATGGGGCATACCGGGAGAGGTGGTCCCATAGTACGAGAGTCCTAGGCCGTGAAGGCTTAATAGCGTGCCAGTGAGGAACCCTTTTCCACAGGGAGAGGCTCAGACTCAGAAGCGGAGAGACTCTGAGACCCCTGGAAAAGGATGCTTTGCTCACTGGCTGCAGAGTGCAGAGCTGAACTGATTCTCTCTGCTGCTGCCTGCCGGCTTTTCTCATTGACTTTGTGGGTGCCCTGCCCCCACAATTATATTATTGTGGCTGCCCAAGCACCCACGGCCCCCTGGAGTTGGCTCTTATGGAAGGCAAGCAATGCAGAGCCAGACACACCTCTTTCAAACATGTTAGTAGCTGTTTGCCAGTCCTGCCTGCCTGCAATGCAATTGCACCCCAAGTCTGAAACCCCAAGTTGCACCTGGGGGAAAGGGCATAGGAGGAGGACACAGGAAGCCCTGGAAGGGAGATGATCTGGTTATATCATTGCTAATATCAGACTGCATTGGAGGGATTCAGAGTTTCATATCAGTCAATGTGCTCCAATGCTTGATAGTTTATTTCATGATGAATTGAAAGCGCCACCATAGCCACATTATCAAAAGGAATTACAGGTGATTCTCAACTTATGCTTGGGTTATGTTCCAGGAATAGTGCATAAAGCCAAAATCACATATGGTCAAAACACACTGGATTCCACAAAATCCAACACAGGATTGCCAAACGGTTTTTTCCCCTGGACACCTGCCCCCTTTCTACCTCCTTGTTTGTTTGTTTATTTCTTTATTTCTTTATTTATTGCCAAGCATGTATAGCTGAATGCACACAAATTAAATGTGTGAGAGTTTCAAGTTGCTTATATTTGGATAGTAAGTGTTGGCATGAATTAATATGCTTGTAATGATGTATTGTTATATATTTATATTGCTGTCATGTTGTGAGGTGTGTTGGTTACATTTATGTGAAAAAGCAGCATGCATACTGAAATCATAGAATCTTAGAGTTGGAAGGGACCCTGGGGGTCATCTAGTCCAACCCCCTGCAATGCAGGAATCCCAGCTAAAGCATCCATGACTGATGACCCTCCAACCTCTCTTTAAAAACCTCCAAAGAAGGAGAGTCCACCACCTCTCATGGGAGTCTGTTCCACTGCTGAACAACTCTTACTGCCAGAGAGGGTTTTTTTTAATGTTTAGTTGGAATCTCCTTTCTTGCAAATTGAAGCCATTGGTTCGAGTCCTACCACCCAGAGCAGGAGAAATCAAGCTTGCACCATCTTCCATGCAACAGCCCTTAAGATATTTGAAGATGGCTATCATATCTCCCATCAGTCTCCTCTTTTCCAGGTTAAACATACCCAGGTTAAACATTCAAGCGCTCCTCCTAAGGCTTGGTTTCCAGACCCTTGATCATCTTGATTGCCCTCCTCTGCACACATTCTGGCTTGTCAATGGCCTTCTTAAATTGTGGTGCCCAGAACTGGACAGGGTATTTCAGATGTGATCTGACCAAGGCAGAATAGAGTGCTACTATTACTTCCCTTGATCTGGACACTAGACTTCTGTTGATGCAGCCTAGAATAGCTTTAGCTGCTGCATCACACTGTTGACTCATGTTAAGCTTGTGGTCCACCAAGATATAATAAATATTTTGCTATCTTCCCTCTCTCTCCTTTGTGTAAGCCGTTGTTTGTTTACTCTGTGGTCCCAGAGAAAAATGGTTTGATGACACTGGTTTAGGGACTGGTCTAAGGCAGAGCAGAGAGCAGAATCTACAAAGCAGGTGGTTCTTGCACATTTTTACTGAGTACCAGCCTTGTGTACCCTTAGGCAATGTCACTGGAAATTTACTAGAAAGCCCAGCTTCTCATTGGGCCTCTGTCTCAAGGAAAGAAGCCATAAGTCTCAGGCAGCAAGCAATCACTAAGAGAAAGAACTACAGTATTAGGGACCTAGAGTTTACTCAGAAATCTCACCTACAAGTGATCCAAAGTTTTCTCCAAAGGCTCAAATCCCCACCCCACCCCCTTTGCCCAAGTATGAAACACAACACTCCAGGTTCTTGATAAACATAACACAGGATTGCCAGAATCCTGACAGATGCCACCTTATGTTTTTGTTGTCAGATGCTCCTTTGTATTCAGATCAGGTCTCAGCACAACAATGTAGCACTTGGGAATGAAGATGCAGCCCAGGAGCCCAGCACTGGAGGCCAAGATAGAGAAGATCTGCACAGCCACCATGTATTTCCCCTTTGTGCTCAAGTAGGTGGGCACGAAGGACACCCAAACACTACAGAAGACTAGCATGCTGAAGGTGATCAGCTTGGCTTCATTGAAGGCCCCAGGCAGCTTCCTGGCCAGAAAAGCCACCGTGAAGCAGATGGCAGCTAGGAAGCCCATGTAACCGAGGGCAGCATAAAACATGGCCACAGACCCTTCGTTGCACTGCAGGGTGATCTCTGCAGTCTGGGAGTGCTTGTCGGAGTCTGGGAATGGGGGAGAGATGCCCAGCCAGATGGTGCAAATGACAATTTGGACACTGGAACAGGAAATGACAATGGAGTTGGCCAGACTCTTCCCCAGCCATCTCCTCACCCTGTTCCCTGGTTTTGTGGCCAGGAAGGCCAGCACCACCATGATGGTTTTTGCCAACACAGAGGAGATGGCAACAGAGAAGATGATGAAGAAGGTTGCTTGTCGAAGAAGGCAGGTGAACTTCCTTGGCTGGCCGATGAAGAGGAAGGATGATAAAAATGAAAGCAAGAGGGAGACAAGGAGCATATAGGAGAGGTTCCTGTTGTTGGCTTTGACTATGGGGGTTTCTTTATATTTAACGAAGATTCCTAACACGATTCCTGTTGCTAAGGACAAGAATAGGCAAATTGAGAGTATGATCATGCCCAAATGTTCTTCATAAGACAAGAAAGTAATAATTTTGGGGACACACTGATCTCGTTCCTTATTCGGATGCTGATCTTCTGAACATTTTGTACAATGTTCTGCATCTGAGGAGAAAAAGAATGGTTTCAACACCATTTACATCCATAACCCTCTGCATTCTTGTACATTTTGAAGACAGATGCTGATGCCTCGTGTAGGTGAAAAAATTAAAATGTGCAATAGCAAAAGATAGGCAGAATTGGCTCATTTGCTTCTTTAAATCTTATACTTGCATTCTGCCCTTACTCCAAGATGACAGAGGTGGTGCACAAAGTTTTTCTTACTTTTTAATCACTGAAATAACCATACAATACTGGACAAAGCTGAGAGACCTCTGGCCACCCCAGATATATACATCTGGCATCTTCATTGTGTGGTTTTCCCCTATTATAAAGATAACCTTTTTATTGGCTGTTGTATTGTAATCATATTAACATAACGTATGGTTCACTTTCTATTGTGCTTTCACTGCATTAAGTATTTACTTTTTTGGCAATTTCTCAGTTATTCAAAATGATTTTTAAAACTATCTTTTTGTTGTTGGTTCTCAGATTTGGTTCATTGAAAGCATGGTACAAAATACCTGAATAACTGACTGTGTGCAATGTATGCTGAGGCTCTCCCTACTCCCCACTTTGTACCCTAGAGATTGCTTCCTTCTACTGAGAAATGAGGTTACAGGGAACCAGGCAGAGGGCCTTCTCGATAGTGGCCCCCACCCTGTGGAATGCCCTCCCAACAGATGTCAAGGATGCAAACAACTATCTGGCATTTTGAAGACATCGGGGAAGTTTTTAATGTTTGGTGTTTTATCGTGTTTGTAATATTCTGTTAGGAGCTGATCAGAGTGACTGGGGAAAGCCAGTCGGATGGGTGTCATACAGATATAATAATACTAATACTACTGCTACTACTACTACTAATAATAATAATTCAACTCACTTCCTGGAAGTGGTGAAGGTGAGTAAAAATAGCAAAGATAAGAAAGGATCCACATTCAAAAATGTCTTTGGAATCTTCACAGAAAGTGTCGCTGAGTGAATCTCTGCTCTGTTTTTATTCTCTCAAGGAACCCTTGCAGTCACTCACCTTCCTGAGTGGAGATTGTCCCTTCCGCACACAGAACACACAAACAACAGCAAACTGGCTTTCCTTCCTGAACCCTTTTGGCATATCCTGGTCGACATCTTTCCGTACATCTCGAGCGAGGCACGGTCTAACCATAAAGAGAAGGTGCATCAGAAGGAAACCACTAGGAGTCTTTCTGGCTATGGAATTCATGCATAGAGGTCAAAAAGGGCACATCTTGGATGCACATTTGTCACCTCCAGACTGGATTATTGTAACTCGCTCTACATGGGGCTGCCCTTGAGACTGACCCAGAAACTCCAGCGGGTGCAGAATGCTGCGGCGAGACTCCTTACGGGATCCTCGCTGCGGGATCACATTCACCCAGTGCTATACCAGCTTCACTGGCTCCTGGTGGAGTACAGGATCAGGTTTAAGGTGCTGGTTTTAACCTTTAAAGCACTATACGGCCTGGGACCCTTGTACCTACAAGACCGCTTCTCCTGGTATGTCCCACAGAGGAACTTACGATCTTCAAACAAAAACATCTTGGAGGTCCCACACCACAGAGAGGTTAGGCTGGCCTCAACCAGAGCCAGGGCTTTTTTGGCTGTGGCTCCGATCTGGTGGAACGCTCTGCCACAAGAGACTAGGACCCTGCTGGACTTGACATCTTTCCGCAGGGCCTGCAAGACAGAGCTGTTCCACCAGGCCTTTGGCCAAGGCACAGTCTGACCCCCTCCTTTGGTAATTCTTTAGTGAAGTATTCTCTGATTTTTCCCATTCTTTTTGAAACTCTTGTCTAGTGTGATCTCTAATTGCCTCTGTTAATCTAGCCAGTTCAATATACTCTAACAGTTTGTCTTGCCATTCCATTTTTGTTGGCACAGTTTCTTTTTCCCATACCTTGTTAAACTGCTTGGGCCACTCAATGGCCTCTGAGATAATAGAGAACTTTACGCCAGTGGGTGCCTCTCTCTCTAGACTCCCAATCTTCACTCTAACACGAGACTTATTAGGAAACATCACCCAGTTCTCAATAGAAAAGTCAATGGGCAGCTCTCCATTCTCATCCAAACACAGTCCTCCTATGGAAGTATTTGAGCACTGGATTTCTTTTAAAAAATGGTGGAGCTGGAATGACATGGGAAACACCAGCATTAAGAAAGCAGGAAACCATGTTGGATATCTTGGTCTTGTTACTTTAAGCTCTTATGAACTGGGGCTGTTGCACATTTCAGGCATTCTATTTTATTATTAAAAAGCTAGCCCACCTTTCATGTTATAAAAATAACAAGGTGCCTTGCAGAATAAGAGCTATAGAAAAGAAAAGAAAAGAAAAGACTTCTAGGAATCCTCAGAGGCCATAGGCGTCAAAAATGTCTTATCAAAAATGCAATATTCTATAGTTGCTACAATGGATAGCATTTCAAACAAACACACACCCACACACCCACACACACACACACACCAAGAAAGGAAATACCTGCCATGGATGCAGCCTTTGAAATTCCAAGTTGTCTCCTCCACCCACCCTAAACCGCTGCTTTGATCTTGCTGAATAGGCAGCATTCAAGGCTTGAGCCATGGCTTGGATGCTGAAGTAAGTGATGTAGTTGTCTTGCGACAAGGTTATCTCCAGCTCCTCCTGGGGCAGATCCTGCAGTTTCTCCTCCTCTGCACACCTTGTCCAGCCCCTCACAGACAGCACATGTTTTGAATATGAACAATGAAATGCTTCGCGCCAAAACTGCTGAAGGAAATGGGAGCCTGGTGTGGAGGAGATATTTCTGGTGCTCCTTAATTTTGTCTTCATTACAAAGGAGAAGGAACCATGGAAGTGCTGGAATATATAAGGAGGATAAAACAAACTCAAGTCGATGTCCTGAAAAGCTGTTGTGATCCAGACTTTGGGACCAATCTGTTTCTCACTCTGTAGCGAAAAGATGATAGCCCATCCCACTTGAGTGGTTACAAAGGAAACAAACACACACACTTGATTCCAGCTGACATATTCATCTGATCCTAATATTTCGTGTGCGTTTTTTTCTGGTATTCTTTTTGATATGGCAATGCAAATCCCACTGCTGATCATCAGAGGTGTCAAGGCACTCACAAATCTTTCTCCATCATCATTGCTTGGAGCAAGGAGACCAATCCACGTCCATCCAAAATGCAGGAGCAGCTTGATAATCCCCTGGTACAGAGTTTCTTCTTTGGGGATCATCCGGTAGACGAAAGGGAACTGGGTTTTATCTTCAAGAACCTGGGCCATAAAGCCATAACTGATCTAGCAAGGAAAGGAAGAGATTGGTGTTTTGCTTTCAGGATGAGAAACAGATTATTTATTTACCTGAACTGATTAATATGTAACAAAATATCTGCTAGTTGAGGCTGATGGGAGTTCCCGAGTTTTGGAAAAAGAGCCTCAGATCCATAGCTCAGGATTTTCTCATTTTTTAATGTCCCTTCTTAACTGCCCTGGAGACAAAAAGGCATTTGATGTAGCTGGCATTCTCCTCTGTCCCTCTATGCTGCCACCTTTCATACCTGTGGGATTTTGTAGATGCCTGACATGGCTGAAATCTCTTTTGAGATAGCAGAATTTTCATGTTCAAGAACAGCCAGCATGTGACTCTGTTTCCCACATTGGTAGTTTGGAACGTTGCCTTCCCCTCCTGCAAGCAGGTCTAGCATGGCATCGGAAGTCATCCTCGCATCATGATAGTTCTCATAGAGGTTGTAGCCCAGGGTGGTGTTGGGTATGAGCCAGGGATCCTGGTTAATCTCCTGGATGGTCAACAAGAATGACATGATGTGCCAACTGTACCTCACACTAAACCTGCAAGAAATAAATAGAATAAAAAAGTGTCAAACCGGTATTCACCATGCAACAAAATTGAACATCCACAAATAATGGGGTGCATGCCTATTATACAAATAAAATAAAATATAAAATGGGGCCATGCATGCTCCTGCAATGCAGGAGTGTAGAAGCACACCGTCTTCAAAGAACAAAACTGAGTAAAAAAGAAAAATTCTCTCCAAAGTTTGGGTTAAGCATGGTAGCTCACTTGGTAGAGCATGAGACGCTTAATCCCAGGGTCATGGGTGAGAGCCCATCATTGGGCAAAAGATTCCTGTATTGCAGGGGGTTGGACTAGATGACCGGCATGGTCCCTTCCAACTCTAAACTTCTATGATTCTAAGTAGGGGAAGTGTATTGTGAAGGATGACCACTGGACTGGGGACAAGAAAACAGAGTATCTCCATGGTAATTGGGATCAGCTTGTGCACAGATTGGGAAGTTCCAAGTGCAACAATAAATCTTTACTTATGAATGAAGCCTAGCAGGTTGACGGAGTGTGTGTGTGTGTGTGTGTGTGTGAGAGAGAGAGAGAGAGAGAGAGAGAGAGAGAGGTGGGGGAGGAAGATAGAGGGAGAGGTTGTTCATATGTTCATATGTTGGACATCTGACTCCACCAATCTCCACCAATGAGGCCTGTATAGATTTTTAATGTTTGGTGTCCTAATGTGTTTTAATTTGTTGGAAGCTGCCCAGGGTGTCTGGGGTTACCCAGCCACATATGAATAAGAACAGATAATTTTACAGGCAAGAACCCAGGGAAGCTGCAAATAGGACAAGTGTGCTTGAGAACCTTTTGCTGGACTCTCAATCCCATCAGCTCCAACCAGCAAGGATCATGAATGATGGACACTGTAGTTCAGAAATGTGTGGGTAAATAGGAACCACTGGAATGGGGGTGGAGGAACATGACAGACACCTGCAGATAATTACTTACTCGTTAATCCTGAACACTGGGGTTTGGGAAAAGACATAAGGATGCTGCTCTTTAAAAACGTTTGGAGATATAATCCCACTAATGAGGAAGTCTCCAGACCGGTGGTAGTTGTTTGCATCATTTTGATCCTTGATCAGATTCAAAGGGCATTTTGCCTCCAGGCTCCCCCAGACTTCATGGGGAATGATTAGCAGCAAGAGTAGTGAAAGGAGCAGTAAGATCATTCTGACTCTGCCTTCTACATGCCCCAGTTGGCTCTTCTCACCTCCAGTGCCAGGAGATCAGAAGAAGAGGAAATCTTTTCCAAGGCCGAAGCGACAGTGGCTTTACTGATCTGGAGGTGTTCAGCTGTAGCTTCAGAGCTGCTAACCTTACACAGGCATATCTCTCCCTCCTCTGGCTAGCTTTTCACCTGCTGTAAATCTTGACTCAGTCTGTGTCAGACACAATAAAAATATTCTCTGCACCAACTTTGCTTTCCAGGCACAGCGCAATGAATAACGTCATGCTGTTTTTGATTCTGATGTTTAGGCCATCTCCAGAAATACCTCTTGAGCTCTTACAATAATAAATCACTATGATTTTGATAATTACACGTGGAAGAGGTTTTGTCTCCGAGGCTTATTGGAGTCTGGAATGAATGGCTCAAGGGGCAGAGCTGGAGAAAAACATGTTTGTGATAAGCATTGCCTACATGAGTAGGAGAGTTTGGCTCACAAGAACTTAGGTAGAGCCATGCAACTGGGTTAAACCAAAGTCCCATCCAGTCCACCCCACTATATGACACAGTGGTGAATCAGTGGCTCAGGGAAGTTCACAAGCAGGGCTGGAGGTTCCCGATGGAGCCAGTCACACTTTTTCAAGGAATTTGGTTTGTGTGTGTTAAAGCTATCAATGACTATGAGTTATGATGGCTATGCTCTGCAGGATGGGGTGCTGTTGTGCTCGTGTCCTGCTAGAGGTAGAAATCTCTCATGCACCAATAAATCATTAGGTAAAATTGCTGTGATGCAGGGAATTTACTAAGCTTTCCATTAGTTTAGACTGGTGAAAGTATTAAAGGTAAAGATAAAAGGACACCTGACCATTAGGTCCAGTCGTGACCAACTCTGGGGTTGCAGCGCTCATCTCACTTTATTGGCCGAGGGAGCCAGCATACAGCTTCCGGGTCATGTGGCCAGCATGACTAAGCCGCCTCTGGCGAACCAGAGCAGCACACGGAAACGCCGTTTACCTTCCCGCCGGACCAGTACCTATTTATCTACTTGCACTTTGACGTGCTTTCGAACTGCTAGGTTGGCAGGAGCAGGGACCAAGCAATGGGAGCTCACCCTACCATGGGGATTCAAACCGTCGACCTTCTGATCAGCAAGTCCTAGGCTCTGTGGTTTAACCCACAGTGCCACCTGCGTTTACTAAGCTTTCCACTAGTTTAGACTGGTGAAAGCATTAGGAGCAATTAAGGTTTGGCAGACAGCCAGAAGGCAGTCTGAAGGAGTAAGTCTGCCTGGTGATAACAGAGACATGGAGACTGCTCCCTGATTGGTCAAGCTCTCTCAAGGGAGTGATAACCAATGGCCTACTAACTGGTAGTTCAGAGTCCGTGAGTTCAGTGGTTCAGTGTGTGTCAGTGTGGGAGTTGTGAGTCGTGTCAGAGAGAACTAGCATAAGATCCGTGTTCTGTTCCGTAAATAGTCCACTGTATAGTTCCTGGTTCCTGCTTTGTCTATCCTGTCTGCAGCCAAGTTGCCAAGTTGCCAATTGCTTCCATGGATTCTGTGTGTACTCTGCTAGGTCTGGCTAAGGTCCTGCAACTAGTCAGAAAGTTGCGAAACACCAAATAGGTTTTGCCAATAGCATAACTGGAAGATGCTATAATGATGACGTAAACATGCCAACAATGCACAATATTATTTAGAAAACAAGACTGTGCAAAACTAGGGTGAGCCAGGTGAACCTGAGCAGTATAAAGACCAAAGTGGTTGGAAGGTCTCTAGTGGGAATCAGGCTCTGATAAAGAAATAATATAAAACATTAAGTCCAGACATTCCTTTCCATCATTCAAGATTTATGCAGAATGAAGAGAGAGAGTCAGAGTTTATGAAGCTTTAATTCAGAAACAGTTATGTGTGTTTAATTTCTACAGGGCAGGCCACTGTCAACATTGATTAATTTAAGAATCAGATACCATTCTTAGTTTTTGTTGTCAGGTGTCTTTTGTATTCAGAACAGGCCTCAGCACAATAATGTAGCACTTGGGCATGAAGATGCAGCCCAGAAGCCCAGAACTAGAGGCCAAGATAGAGAAGATCTGCACGGCTACCATGTATTTTCCCTTTGCGCTTAGGTAGGTGGGCACAAAGGACAACCAAACACTGCAGAAGACCAGCATGCTGAAGGTGATCAGCTTGGCTTCATTGAAGGCTCCAGGCAGCTTCCTCGCCAGGAAAGCCACCATGAAGCAGATGGTAGACAAGAAGCCCATGTAGCTAAGGGAACCATAAAACATGAACACAGACC